GCTCACCTGTAGTCCCAGCTACACGAGAGGCTGAGGTGAGTGGTTTTCTTGATCCCAGGAGGTTGAGGCTGCAGTGAACTGTGATTGTGCCACTATACTCCACCCTGGGCAAGAGAGCAACACTCTGTCTTAAAAAAAAAAAAAAAAGAAAATGAAAAGAAACTGAAAAGTCAGGGTAAAAATCTAATTTAGGACCCTATGGAGCACAACTTTAAAATGCGTGAACTTTATCTATTGGAGATTTTAATTATTTTTAAAGTGATAAATGATTAGTGACTACAGAGAAGTAACAGAATGTCATTCTTGTTAATCTTACCTTCCAGGGTTGTAATAATAAAGGGAGCAGAGGGCATCAAAGTAGAAAGAATGCCATAATTAGACACTGTCACCACTATCACACCTCCCATTCCAGGGTGTCACCCAAGGAGAGATTCATCTTGCTGCCTAAAGTCTGATAAAACTTTGTGAAATTGCGCAATGTTAGGTGAAAGACGGCTGACATGCAAATGTCTAAGTAGGTCAGTTCTGTGTTTTTAGAAATAGTTTAATATGTTTGAAAATCGCAGCAGACTTAAGTGAGAGATACTAGTGACTTTTACAAATAACTAAGCTGGCTGGGTGCAGTGGTGCACGCCTGTAATCCCAGCACTTTGGGAGGCCAAGGGGGGTGGATCATGAGGTCAGGAATTCAAGACCGTCCTGGCTAACACAGTGAAATCCTATCTCTACTAAAAATACAAAAATTAGTCGACATGGTGGCACGTGCCTATAGACACAGCTACTCAGGAGGCTGAGGCAGGAGAATCAGTTGAACGCAGGAGGAGTAGGTTGCAGTGAGCCCAGATCGCACTCCAGCCTGGGCGACAGAGCAAGACTGTATCTCAGAAAAAAAAAAAAAAAAAAAATGAATAAGCTAAGCTGATAAATTAGCCAAATGGTATGGCAATATTACCAGCAAGGCATTTTAATGATATCTCATTGTATTCTTAAGGATAAGATTAAGAGATGTAACATGAATGACAGGATTTAACTGGGTTCATATTGGATGAATGATCATACCTGAAGACAGCAAACTAATGAGATTCTAATGAGATTCCTGTCCTCGGTCCTTTCTTGAATATGAGAGCATATTTAGAAGTAACTTATGTGAGGAATTATTAGCATGCTGATCTTTTAAAATCTCTTTTTTTTTTTTTTTTTTTTTCTTGAGACGGAGTTTCGCTCTTGTTACCCAGGCTGGAGTGCAATGGCGCGATCTCGGCTCACCGCAACCTCCGCCTCCTGAGTTCAGGCAATTCTCCCGCCTCAGCCTCCCGAGTAGCTGGGATTACAGGCATGCGCCACCATGCCCAGCTAATTTTTTGTATTTTTAGTAGAGACGGGGTTTCACCATGTTGACCAGGATGGTCTCCATCTCTTGACCTCGTGATCCACCCGCCTCGGCCTCCCAAAGTGCTGGGATTACAGGCGTGAGCCACCGCGCCTGGTCTAAAATCTCTTTTTTTTCCAGCTCTCACGTAAGACTCTTGAAACAAGAAAATAAAAAAATAAAAATATAAACTATTTTTATGAAAGAAAAATGAAGTAGGCAAGAAAATACTGATTTTTTTAGTGAAAGCTAAAGTGTTAATCTGAAATTATAGACCATGTCTACAAAATTAAAAATCCTAGCGAAGTCCAAAAAAGAGAAATATACAAGTGTAAGATGGGTGAAATGTTTTATAGGAGCAATTCAGGAATAATTATTCTAGGATTGTAATTGAATGTTATCCTTTTTGTGTCCTTGTTTGTTTGTTTTTTTATTCTATTGTTGCAAATTTTGACCCATCAGCAGAAAGCATATAATTGAAATATAATTTTAACTGGACTCACTAGAATGACTTTGGCGGCCATAACAATCACAATAATGTCTGATTTAATGTTTTATGCCTATCATGAGGAAGACGAAGATGAGGATCTCACTGTTGTTTGTTAGTCAGATCCAATCTGAAGTATTGCTTTTAATTTGGGACACCACATTATGCTTTGTAAAAATGTGGAAAAGCTGAATCTTGCTTGGGTAAGAGCTTAAAGTAGTGTAGAGAAGGAATTTTGCTAGATGATTTTGTAGCTCTAAGATTAAATGGTTCTACAGGTAAACACTTTTTCTTCAAGGAATGAGACTGTAAGACCTGTCAAGAGAGTGTTCATTTGGTTGATAGCATCTTTGTTCTTTCCTAGTACTTTTGTAAACCTGTAATGCTCTCCTTAACATCTTACCAAGGAGAGAGGGAGGTCCAATCTAATTATCCTAATTAATGGATTGACTTCTGTAGCATCTATAGCCAAAGTAAAGTTGATTTATTTCCTTTCCTACCCCTAAACAGTTTTGTGGGTTTTTTGTTTTCGGGGTGGGGGGGGGTGTTTGTTTTTGGCATTTTTCATTGTAACTGGGTGATGCTTAGGAAATTATGTTTTATGTCTACCTGTATAGAACTATTTAGGGTAGTGATTACTGTGAAACATTATCTTATGTAGGGATTGGGTTGTGTCTCATCCCATTTTTCTATCTGGAGGATTAGAGTCCCTTTTCCTTCCATCCTTTCATTCTACAGACCTGGACTTCTACTTCTTGCTGCTTTTTATTACAGGATTACAGAAAGAGAATTATTCAATGAGATAAAAATTAAGAAAGCAGTTCGTAAGTTATAAAGGATTACACAAATATAAAGTGTTATTTCAGGTTGCAGCTATATGCAACTCAGCCTATAATAGATTTGTACTATGTAACTTCTATGCTGGTTATATCACTAGCTCCCCAATCACATTTTTATCTTGTTGATTATCTAGTACTTTCCTGGTCAGAAAATTTCTCCCTTCACCCTCCCAGTTACATTTCTATCTACTTTATTCTTGCTATATTCCTTCGCATCAAATTTGTTGAAAGGATTAACACCATCCCGTGGAGAACACCTTTATCTTCCCCTCTTTTAACTTCAATAGGCCTCTATATTTTCATATGGTTGAAACCCATTTGTTTTTGTTTTTAAGTCTTGCAGGAAAAAAAACCTCCTTTCAAAGACCAATGCTTTTTCTGTGTACTAGATTCCAGGTCTCTGAGTGCAAGGACCTAGCTCCACCAACCAACCCTATCATCATTTATCCCCCTTTCTTTCTAATGGAGACAAGATCTCCCCATCTTAAAGCTTCCACTAGTTTTTAACTTTGTACGTCACTGTAGAACTTTTTAAGCAGTGAGACCTGTAACCGACATCACATTTTCTTTCAATGAAAGAGTAACAGTGTGATGTAGAACACTGGGCCTAAAGTCATAACAAGATAATTTTCAATTGTAGTAAGTGCTATGAAGAAAATAAACTGTGATATGAAATAGCAATTGGAGAAGGGATTACTTTGGATAAATAGTAATTTGAAATGAAAATTTAGAAAATACTTCTAAAATGTTGATGTTGGTAAGAATAAGGAAGTTCAAATGAAGATGAGAAAGCATGAATAATTTTAGTTATTTGCAAATCTTCCATTTTTAACAGTGTTCATTGCATGGTTTTGATTATGCCATTTGGATTTTAAGTTCTCATTTTAAGGTAAAATTTTCTAATGATCATTGTCAGATTTCAGAAGTATCATGTATCTGTTCTCTCCAGTATTCAATTAAGAAAAATAACCTTGACCAGCACATTATATGTATCTTATTGTAGTTTATTCAATAGACATTTATTGAATATTTACTACACATACTAAGCACTGGGTATACAAAGAAATAAACAAGACACCACTCTTCTGAGACAGGAGGATTGCTTGAGTCCAGGAGGTGGAGGTTGCAGTGAGCCAAGGTTGTGCCACTACACTCCAGCCTGGATGATAGAGTGAGACTTTGTCTCCAAAAAAAAAAAAAAAAAACAACAGCACTTTACTTTAATGAATGTATGTAGCTAAAGCAGTTTTTAGGGGTAACATAGATGATTTTAAAGTTATCATTGACTTTAAAGTAGACCCACTATGGCCATTTTAGAGAAAGATTTCTCCTCAGTAGTTTTTTTTTTGTTGTTTGTTTGTTTTTTTTTGAGACGGAGTTTCGCTCTTGTTACCCACACTGGAGTGCAATGGCGCCATCTCGGCTCACCGCAACCTGTCTCCTGGGTTCAGGCAATTCTCCTGCCTCAGCCTTCTGAGTAGCTGGGATTACAGGCACGCGCCACCATGCCCAGCTGATTTTTTGTATTTTTAGTAGAGACGGGGTTTCACCATGTTGACCAGGATGGTCTCGATCTCTCGACCTCGTGATCCACCCGCCTCGGCCTCCCAAAGTGCTGGGATTACAGGGGTGAGCCACCGCGCCCGGCCTCTCCTCAGTAGTTTTAAGAAGATATTTTAAGACTATATGACAACTACCTTTAAAAAAATTTTAATTCTTAAACTGCATGTTCTAGTAGTTTACATTCCAAATAGAAGTGAACATAGGCACATTGAAAAAACACATTAATCAAGCCATTATGATGATGATTACTACATAAGCTGAACAGTGAAAGATCACTTTCAGTTGGGTTAGTCATGGGAAAGCTTCACTCAGGAGTTAGAATTTGTATTCAGTCATAAAGGATGGCTATAAATAGGTGGAAAATAGAGTGAAAGCTAATTTTGCGGGATGGGTGTAGGAGGGGAGCATTGAACACAGTGGTGGGATTAAATATCAAGGTATATTTAAGGGACATGGATAAATAGGCTTGACTGGAGTGAAAGGTTTGTATTGGTAACTAGTAAAAGATAAAGTCTTTTAATAGAAAACAAGATTTTGACTGTATCATTATAGTGATATGTTCCTGTAATCTTAAATTCATTTATAGTCTATTTTAATATTCTGTGAAGGGTTTATCACAATGTACAATTTTCAGTTGTATCATGATTCTGAATAAGTCTTTACACCCCTAAGTATGTTCTATAGATTTTGAGGCCAGAGTCCTTTAGCCCTACTCAGGTTAAAATGATGTTTTGTTTTTCAGTTACTTACACGCCAAGTCAATCATCCACAGAGACCTCAAGAGTAATAGTATCCTTCCTGAAATTTGTCTGCGAAGTTTGAAAGCATCCTGACTTTTTCTTCTGCATTTTGTCTTCACATTATGTAAAAACAATTTTCATGCTAAGTTTGATATACTGTAAAGAGAATTAATAAAGGATTGTGCATGCATGTGTAGGAGAGCAGGATACTACAGCCTGCTTTTGGTTTCTCAACGACTGAACATTACAAGAAAATCCATCAAAAGTCTTTCCAATAGTAGGATTTTTTGACCACTCGCTTACATTTTATCAGCACTATAAAACTGACAGTTTTGTAACTATCTACTAGTCCCTTTCAGACCTCTGACTTTGCTTAGTTGTAGTTGAAATATAGCTGAAGGCTCTAAATTATGTAACAATGAGGTGAGAAAAATATAATATTTCTTCTTCCCTAAGTGCAGACTAAGATACTGTCTGCCAGCATCTTTATTCCAATGAAGAGCCTTTATAGCTTGCCCAGTTGTGCCAAGAGAGTATCTGGGCCTACATTGCTAAAATCTAATGGGAAAGTTTCATGTTCTCTCATAAACTTAGGAAAGCATCTCACCTCATCCTAGCACATTTAAAGCCCCAAAATCTTAAAAGCAGATTATATAGGCTAAATAGAACTAATCATTGTTTTAGACATACTTACTTTAAAAGGAAAGATGAAGTATTATGTTTTAAAGAATATCATATTACAGAATTATAGAAATTAGATCTCTTACCTTAAATCTTCATAATGCTTGCTCTGATAGGAAAATGAGATCTGTTGTTTTCCTTTACTTACTACACCTCAGATATATTTCTTCATGAAGACCTCACAGTAAAAATAGGTGATTTTGGTCTAGCCACAGTGAAATCTCGATGGAGTGGGTCCCATCAGTTTGAACAGTTGTCTGGATCCATTTTGTGGATGGTAAGAATTGAGGCTGTTTTTCCACTGATTAAATTTTTGGCCCTGAGATGCTGCTGAGTTACTACAAAGTCATCGAAGGTTTCAATTATAGTATTTTCATAGTTCCCAGTATTCACAAAAATCAATGTTCTTATTTTTTATATAAATAGATTTTTTAACTTTTTTCTTTATCCTTGAATATTATGAAACCAGTTTCAGTGTGTTTCAAACAAAAATATATGTCTTAATAAGCAGTGTTTCATATTTTATTCAAAATTGTTTAAAATATTTTGTGTTCAAAATGTTCTGTGTACCCTGTTGAAAAAAAACAGGTGTGGAATTTAAGGCAGGTGTGATCCACAGCCATTATTACGGTTTTACTAAGAGAACTACTCCTTTTAACAGAGAAGCTGTTTCACAATCTTATTTAAGCATAAACTGGAAAGTTATTTCCTTTAGACTAGAAAGGATCTCATAATTATGGGGCATCTGGAAAAGACAAATGAGAGGTAGATTAACAGTCAGCCTTGTGCTGTCTTGGCATAGCTTTTTCTTTCTCTTTCTTCCTGTTTTTTGCTTTGTGGAAAAGAAGAAAGAGAAGTTCTAAAAGAAGAGAACTAAAACTTCTGTGCAGTGGGAGCAAGCTGTGGAAAGGTCAGTCATATGAATCATTCCCTGAAACTGCATTCTTAAGGGGTCCCTCATACCATTTTAGAGGGTCAGCAAGGTCTTCCCTTTGTGAGACCAGATTCTTTTTATATCCTTCAACCAAAACAACACATTGCAGCAGATTGAGTGCAGAAGCAATTACGAGAATCCAGTGGGCTGCTGTTAAGCTAGACATTGAAGAGAATCACAGGCCAGGCATGGTAGCTTGAGCCCATAGTTCCAGCTACTTGGGAGGCTGGGGCAGGAGGATCACTTGATCCCAGGAGTTTGAAACCAGCCTGGTCAGCATGGTGAGACCCTGTCTCTAAACCATAAAAAGAGGATAATTGTAGTACTATTCTTCTTAGTAAACTTTTTTTTTGTTTTTGACAATAGTTGTTTTTCACTAAAAATGGATGATCTGTGTTAACATCTAATTGTTATTATTTTAATAGTTAAATGAATTAATAGTTTAGTTTCTCCATTAAATTTTAATGATAACTATCCACAGGTGTAATCCACATAAACAAGAGTTCTTTATGGTCCTTAATAGTTTTTAGGAGTGAAAAAGAGTCCTGAGACTGAAAAGTTTGAAAACCACAGCTCTAAGCTGAATATAAGCTTTCCCAAACATCTTAGTGCACTTCTAAGCTTTAAATAGCTTAATCTGCACAAGACATTCAGGGTACCCTGCTAGAAACTGAATAGTTGTAAGGGCTTTCAAAGCCACAAACTGTGTAGCAGTTTCCAAAAAGGGAAGTCCAAGTTAGGACTCCAAGTTTGTCAAAATAAACCTCGAGTTGAATTGAGCTATGATTTCTTGCGACAGTAAGTGGAATTAGGGCAAGTGGCAAGATGGAACACTGGACTTTGAGTTAGAAGATCTGTATTCTAGTACCCTATTTGGCCATTAACCTGCAAGTTTCTTAACCTCCTCTAAGTCTCTTAATCTGAAATCTTGAGTTCGACTAATAGATTTCAAATGCCCCTTCTGTTTCTAAGATTTGGTGATTGGAGTTAGCTAGATTTTTTTCATTATTTAACATATGTCTAACTGTTTTTAATTAATAATTGTAAGTGATAGGAAAATTAATAACTATAATCTGATGTCTGGCACCTTTATTAAGGCATACACATTTTGTGAAAAAGATGGCAGTGTATCCTAAAAAGATGAGAGAAAACAGATTTCAGTGTTAAAAATGTAAAACCTAAAATTATAAACAATGTCACGTGCTTTTAAAGTATGTTAATTTTTAACTAGTATGAGAAAGTTATGCTCGATCAGGTCTCCAGTTTTGTCCTTACTTTTTCAAAAATCTTAGCTTATACAGTTTGTAGATTATTATACATAAAGTTTTATATTTTCTTATAATTTTTTTTGTTGATACCTGTATAGATGGGTTTTTCCTTTATTCTTCCATGCTGAGTTTTAAACAAGAGAATAATAGCCAATAGTACCCTTCATTGTTAAACCAGTCCTGGGTTGATACTGCCCTCAGAAACAAATACGGAACATCAGTATCATAGGAGGGAAGAGTTTGGTCATAACTAAGGCTATGTGGTCCTCTGAATTATATACAACATTCTTCTCAACTTTGTTTTATTTATATCTTAGAAAAGAAAGAAACTTTTGTGAGAGCTTTTTTTTTTTTTTTTGAGACGGAGTTTCGCTCTTGTTACCCAGGCTGGAGTGCAATGGCGCGATCTCGGCTCACCGCAACCTCCGCCTCCTGGGTTCAGGCAATTCTCCTGCCTCAGCCCCCTGAGTAGCTGGGATTACAGGCACGCGCCACCATGCCCAGCTAATTTTTTTTTCTATTTTTAGTAGAGACGGGGTTTCACCATGATGACCAGGATGGTCTCGATCTTTCGACCTCGTGATCCACCCGCCTCGGCCTCCCAAAGTGCTGGGAGAGAGCTTTTACAAATTAAATCACTAAATTGAAGATTCGTCGTACATTTCTTAAAATAGGTGATGTGCAACTTTTCATCAAACTCTCTACCAACAACAGTGTGAGATAAAACTAAATTTTAAAAAATTCATCTGATTTCTACTCCATCTCTCACAAAAATTGGTTCAGGCTTTGAAAATTATGCCTTTGCCATACCAGCCTCTTAATGTTCTGGCTTGGTCATTACATCACAGTTATATGTGTTTTATTTTGTACTGTATTACTAAAAGCAAGTATGAACAAAATGTATGACAAAGGCAAGTAGACACAATCTTCTCCTTCACTTCCATCCTCTCGCTTTCTTCAGGACATCCCACAGATCTTCCATCAGTGGTTCTCAACTTTGGTTGGACATTAGAATCATCTGGAGAGCTCTAAAGACTTAACTAATGTTTGGGTCCCAGCCCCAGACTTAGGTTATATGATTGGACTGGAGTGTAGTCTGAATGTTGAGGGGTTTAAGGCTCTACTGGTCATTCTCATTTGCAGCTGTTGCTGAGTGCCATTATTGCCTCTCCTAGTGAGATGCCTGCCTTACCCAGACCAATAACCAGAAATCTTGTCCCAGGTCTCTCAGCCATTTTTGCATAGTTAGTACCACTTTCGCTGTCAAACTGACATTGTCACAAACTTTTCATTAATATACTGCCATTTCACTTCCTTCCAAATGAAACAATACAGAAGACTCAAGGTGAAATAAAATTCCTGACTTTCTGACTAGAAACTACAGATATAACAATGGGTATTTCTTGACCATAGCACAATTAGAGAATGAGCTCTGCTACTGTAGCATCTGGGCTTGAAACGTTTCACTGTATAACAGATTGTGCTGTCAGAACAGGTACTCTTTTTAACTAATACTTAACCAACTGTTTACTGTATTTTATGCAAATAAGAAATCTGTGCAATACAATGACTGAAAATATAGAAAATATGATTGTTTCATTGCACCAGAACCAGCAGCCAAAAGATTCTTTATACCATCTTCTACTAAATCTACACACTGTCTTGCTTTTAATAAAGTATCCATGACATGTTAAACCATATGCTTATTCCTTAGCTTTAAAGGGGATTTGAGTTTATCAGTCTTGAAATTCTATCATCATTTTCTAAGGTGTCCTGAGATGAGAAAAGTTGTTTGTACCAGTGAGAAAACTTAAATTCTAAGACAGTTACTACAGTAGTTGTGCTGCTTCCAAGCATCTTAAAACCACAAGTCTAATATTTCTTTGCTGAATCGGGAATGGGAAGTGGGAACTGATTCTAATAGGGTAAGTCATAGGAATAATTCAAATGGCACTTACGGTATTTTGTGCAGAAAGGAATTACCTCAATAATTACTAAATTATAAAATCTTAGTAATACAATACAAAATCTCTGCTAATTCTGTCTCTTTCTGAGTTTATAGAGCATAGAGTTTTTTTTCTTCATCTTAATCAGTTGTATTTCTTTGACTATCAAGAGAATTGATTACATATTAGGTGTTTTAATGATAAAAGCATGACTCCAGGAATTACAGTAGTGTGTTTTTTCAGTCTTTATTCAATTGAAGGGAAGAATTAACTAGAACTTTTTCTTTGTATGTTCTAATAGGCACCAGAAGTCATCAGAATGCAAGATAAAAATCCATACAGCTTTCAGTCAGATGTATACGCATTTGGGATTGTTCTGTATGAATTGATGACTGGACAGTTACCTTATTCAAACATCAACAACAGGGACCAGGTAAATATTTACCACCTCTTGGTGTTTATTTTACCATCTTTGTACAAGGCTCCAGTTAGTTTTAGAAAATAAGTGGTAAGTCGTGGGTAAGCATGAAAGATAGATTTCTTGGTTTTTGGTTTTTTGTATTTTGGGTTTGTTTTTGTTTTTTGTTTTTTTACCAGTTTTAGAAATCATTTGTATACCTTTGGCAGTAATCGCAACATGGAAGTCCTTTTCTCAGAATATCAGCCATAAATGTTACAATGGAATAAAATTCCTGACTTTCTGACTAGAAACTACAGATATAACAATGGGTATTTCTTGACCATAGCACAATTAGAGAATGAGCTCTGCTACTGTAGCATCTGGGCTTGAAACGTTTCACTGTATAACAGATTGTGCTGTCAGAACAGGTACTCAGCTATGAGCTTTTTTTATATTAAATTCTTTTAAAATTAAGATTTCTTGAATTCTTTAATTTTTTAAACTAGGTAAATGGAAGGAATCATGCTTTGATTTTTTTCTATAATGAGAATTCTAGTTGGAGGGTAATTTTTTACTTCTTTCCTTGCTAAGCCCCTGTTCCCTGTCCCTTACCTTCCAAAAGGTACTAACATAGCCTTATGTAGCTCTTAGCTTTTTCTCTCTCTGACTCAGTAAGTTTGCTTAGACTTTTAAAATTGGCCAAGAAAAGTGAATTGTCTTTACTAAAACTACCTTGGATAACTCTGTATTTTAAAAGGTTTGTGAGTGTGTGTAGAGAGATTACAGGAGTTATATTGTTAATAGAAAACACCAGTTGACCACATAAACTTTGATTAAAGAATATTTAGACTTTATGCTGTGATTTGCCCCAGAATCACCTGGGAATTTTGTTTAAAAATGGAGATACTGGAACAGATTCTAATTAAATGGGGAAGGGTCCACTCACCTGCATTTTTTTTCTGTTTCCGAGGTGATTCCAATATAGACCAAAGTTGAGAGTCACCAATCTGAGTAACTTTTTTTAAATGCAAGCTTTTTCGGTATTTCATCATAGCATCCCAACCTGACGAAATTGTATTTTTTGTGTATAAATGTGTTGCTTCATTTAAGTGATTTGTCTGTTTTGTCAAGAGCTCAACTCTGTCGTTTTGGTGCTAGCTCTGAGTAGCTTTCTCACTTCACCTGTTGTGATATCAGAGAATAATCTGTTAAGTTACCATGAACTTTGTGTGTGTACTTATTGAATCACCATATGGCCCTTACACAACAATGGTCTTGACTGTGTTTGATGATTTTTAAAAATGGCTACATTGTTGCCCAGTTCATTGTAAAACTAAATTTTAGCTGTTATTGGCCCTTCTAACTACTTTGTAGCTGTAGAATGTTGAGTCTTGGCTTTGAGTATGAAATAACATGACTTTGGATCTGATGTTTTAAGCCTGCATGAAACTTAGATTCAGGATGGACTGAAATTTCAGCTAAAGAACATAATTGAAACATTGTACTTACTGTACTTGTGATAGATATAGATCACTGAAATGATTGATTTGACGATCGAAGCCTGGGTAGCCAAATGGTCTCTAATTTACAAGCTTCAGATGCTTTACCTTTTACAGTCTTATTAATTCAATCATACAGCGTAACATCCTGTACCATGTTCACTTTTCCTGTACATAATATTTTTCTGGAGGAATTACTATGGATTTTCAGTTTAGTTTCAGTTGATTTATCATATAGACTACAAATTAATAAAAATTTATGAACCTAAAATCTGGATGAAATTCATTTGTCAGTGAATACGTTTATTTTAATACAATAATAAAATTATAATATAGAAACAAGTATTATCTCCAAAATACGAATAAAAGCATCCCAGAGTTCTACACTCATCCACTTCTTGGCATTTTAGGTGCTTTGTCCTCCATGGGAGTATAATAAATGATGTGGCAAGGGCTTACTCTCCATGAGAGGAGTGTGTGACCAACAGAAGGGTAAGGCCTTTACTAGTTAATTCTTTCTAATAGTATAGTTAGAACCCTCTGGAATCTACTAGTCTGAAACCAGGTTAAGTATTTAATGGGGAAGAAGAAGGTAAAAGAATGATATCCTCTTACAGCTACCCCCATTCTGCTTCATTACCCTCTAGTGTACTTTCGTCAAATAGTACTTTCTATGAAACTCGACATTTTGAAGGGTTGACTATGGCCATCCTCAATGAAGTTGCCCCATGTATTGCTCCATTCATCCTTTGATTTTTCTTTTGCCATCTCTATACTTGGATCTTTATGGCTGTCAGATTAGACATCTGTTTAAGAATCCAGGAATATTCTTTACTGTGCAATGTGAATACCATTCCCCTGGACTCTCATGCCCATAATCTGAGGTGGCAGATTTTGCCTATAAATTCATAGCACAGTTGATAAAGCAATGTGATGTAATGGCAGGCCTTGGACTCCAGATTTGCATGACTTGGTCTACCTACCTCTCTGGGTATCTTTTTTTTCTTTCTTTCTTCTTTCTTTCTTTTTTTTCCCCCCCTGAGATGGAGCCTTACTCTGTCACCCAAGCTGGAATACAGTGGCCTAATCTCAGCTTACTGCAACCTCTGCCTCCCAGGTTGAGCAATTCTCCTACCTCATCCTCCTGAGTAGCTGGGGTTACAGGCGCGTGCCACTTTGCCCAGCTAATTTTTTTGTATTTTTGGTGGAAACGAGGTTGCACCACATTGGCCAGGCTGGTCTCGAACTCCTGACCTCATAATCCACCCACCTCAGCCTCGCAAATTGCTGGGATTGCAGGCATGAGCCGCTGCACCCAGCCTTTTTTCTTTTTTCAATCACCCCAAAAATAAGAGAATTTGGCTAAAGAATTTCTTTCCGTTTCAAAAATCAGATTTTTTTCTAAAATAGATCTCTTAGCCCTTTGCAAAGCAGTATACCTTTTTACCTTTATTTACCCTAGCACTAAAAGTCTGGTAAATCACATTATTATCCCCCCACCCTCTTTAGCATTCCAATATTTTCTCTCCATTCACCCTATTCTTTCTTCCTTCAGTGCACTTTCTCTTGTAAATTGAGATTAATAATATGCTCATTTAAATTAGGTATATTGACTGTACCTTCATGGCTTTCTTTTCTTGGAGCAGAATTGCTGTGTCTTCTTAGAAGAATAAATAGCATATATCCGTTATCTGAAGTGTATTCCAGTTATAATTGCTGCATAACAAACCACCCAGAATGTGGTAGCTTAAAATACTAATCTGTAGGTTGGGCTACTCTCAGTAAGGAAGGTTCTAATCTGTTTCACACTGTATTGACTAGAGTAGACTGACTGGTTGTTAAAAGAATCTACTCTAGAGTGCCTCATTCACATACCTGGCAACTTGGTGCTGGCTAGAAGCTCGAAGCCCAGTTATTCTCCACACGAGCCTTTCCTTGCAGACCTCTTCGAAGGTCTTGGAGGACCTCTGCATTGGTCTTTCTCACAGCATGGTGGCAGGTTCTAAGCACAAGATCTGAAGAAACAGGAAGCAAGTACCAGTCTCTTATCAACAGGCAAATTATTTTAATAGAAAATGTTTTTAATACCAACTAATGCAAAGTACTATGGGATATAGAGAGATTCAAAATGAATAAAACAAAGCATAGGCTCTGCTCTTAATGGCATGGGCAGTTCTTTTGAGGTTGTGCTGGGGATGATACTAAAAATGAGCAGACATGTGCTCCAGTAATACCATGGAGTGAATGATAGGGTCGAGATGCCAGGAGTGCTGAGCGTGGATTGAAAGTATGAAGAACCATTCCCAGAATTTCAAGCCGAGGTATTGATTTCATAGTGTATGTGCCACATGAATCTTCTGTCCATGAATAACATCCAGGAAAAACTTTCCCTTTTTTCTTCTGTTTCTTCATCAGTCAGTTTCTGCACCCTACCCCAGCAGATACTGTAGGCTGCCTGCTTTGTGCTCTGCCCTAACTAAATTCTGTGGGATCTATAAAAACATGAGAGTTGTCTTCAATTTTTTTTCTCACATTCCTCCTGAAAGACTCTTGAAAAAACTATGTACCTCCTTGTACATTTTTAAGTTGACACCTGAAAGTTTTTACCTTAAGTTTAAATAGTTGCAAAGAATGTAATTTCCAGTATATTCTTTTAACATTTTAAAGTAAGACTATAATATTAGATATATATATATCTCTCTCTCTTTTTGAAATGTATGCATTCAAATCTAAAAACCATACTGATTTTATGCCTTTTAAAAAATACTGAAGTTCTTCATTAATTTCTGGAAGTTTTACATGGTTCTTTTTTTCTCTTCAAACTATTTGTATTGTTTCTCTTACAGAACTTCATCTTAATGTAACTTATTTGTATGTTTTAAAGCCTTTTATTTATTAAGTTACGACTGCAATAAAAATATGTATATAAGTTTAAATTCAGAATTTTACAAAATTGTAACTAAAAGCTCATTTTTTTAAAATTCTGAATTATGTTATTGTTACAAGTAACATAACTGATGAAAGTAACATGTAAGTTTTTATATATGAAAATTAGAAGGTAAAATTATATTGGAAATATGTATCTTAATGAATGACATGGACTTTTCTTTTCCGTTCAATTAATGTATCTATCTGTAGATAAATACAACTCTTCCGTTAGGACACTAGATGCTAGGACTTAGTATTGATCCTTTCCTTATTTCATTTCTAAAGAGGTAAGTACTGAGAAATTGTATTTAAATTATAAGATCAGAAAGGCAGGAGTTTTGTTATAACCACATGCAGAGTTTAGTGGTCCCGAAGACCCAGCTTCAGGTTTGTTAAAAGGACTCGCTGAAAACTCAGTGAAAACTGCTCAGGACTCACTGACAGCTGTTACAGTCACAGTTTGTTACAATGAAAGAATAGGTATTAAAATTAACAAGGGAAGAGAGTTACAGGACAAAATTGGGGAGTGTTCTTGTAAGAGATTTATAGGACAAAATTCAGGAGCTTTTTGTCACCCTCTCCCAGTGGAGTTGTGGACAGAGCTTCCAGTAGCGGTGTGTGACAAGATACATGGATTATTGCCAACCAGGGAATAATCACCTGAGACTTGGAATCGAGAGATTTTATTGCAATTCAGTCACATAGATATGGTTGACCACCTGCTGGGCTGACCTTAGTTTACAGCTCCTGTAGAGGTCAAGCTGATGATGCCACATGCCCCAGACCCCCTGTGTAAATCATATTGTTAGCCTAGACTATCTGGCATGGCCTATGGCCCCCAGAAAAACAGACACTCTGATCAGGCAGAACATTTCAAGGGCTTAGTGATTACCTCCCAGGATCCAAGAGCAAAGGGTAGCTCTCTCTTTGGGCAAGGTTAATTTTAATTCTTTACTGCATACTGTATCAGCCATTTGAGCTCATTCCTATAAAGTACCAAAATTTATATAGTAACTTGTCATTAAAAATGTTTTAAAAGCTCAGCTGACACTTCAATTAATATTTTTGAAAATAAAGATTTGGAAATGAACAGACTTGTTACCCATTCGTGTGAGCCCAGTTTGACACCAGTATTTGGAAATGTCTCTGTTGCCCCAGAGGTTTTGAGACCTTGGGACAATGTGTACTATAGTGAGGTACATATGGGTAAAAGGTGTGGCTCTTGTAAAGTGGTAGAAGGGCAGTTATAACAGGGAGAGTGGGAAAGGAGGATAGGTGTTACACCTCCACTTGAGACTTGAGTGGTTCTCTGGCAAATCAAGTTTTTTCAAAGGGGATATGAGTAAGTTGATGGTTGTAGAAATTAATTCCCTTAAAACCACCATGTTGGCTGGGCATGGTGGCTCACGTCTGTAATCCTAACACTTTGGGAGGCTGAGGTGGGTGGATCACTTGAGGTCAGGAGTTTGAGACCATCCTGGTCAACATGGTGAAACCCCGTCTCTACTAAAAATACTAAAAATTAGCTGGGCATAGTGGCGCGTGCCTGTAATCCCAGCTACTCAGGAGGCTGAGGCAGGAGAATTGCCTGAACCCAGGAGGCGGAGGTTGCAGTGAGCCGAGATCGCGCCATTGCACTCCAGCCTGGGTTACAAGATCGAAACTCTGTGTCAAAAAAAAAAAAAAATATATATATATATATATATATATATATATTTTTTTTTAAATATTTATGTATGAGTCACAGTTTCTCTGCCTTACAAGCACCCATAGTCTGATTGGAGAACTTAGATAAGATACCTATCACAAAAAGATTAATAACCATACAAGGCAGTAAATAATTTTCATAGCTAGTGTTGGGAAGGAAGACCATTATTACTTCTAGGTATGTAAAGGAAGGCAAAATATTAGGAAATTAAGAAATTAGAAAAAATTCTAAATCTCTGAACCCAGGGAAGACAAGCCTTTTTACTTCATTAAGCAGAAGATTTTAGCTCCTAATGGCTTTTCCTTCCCTCCTCTGGGGATGGAAACCAAATGGCCCATTAGTGTTTCCACAATAAAAGGGCTTAAAATGCAGATGGCAAAACAACTGCTAAAATGTTAACCACCTCAGTTTTCCCTGCACATATATAAAGGGCTTACCACAATGTCCTACAAGACATGCTGAATAAATATATTTTTTTTAAAGAAGAGGCACTGTCAGATCTGTTTTAGATGGTTACCCTGTGAGTGGGAAAATGGACTGGATAAGGAGAGATCAAAAGCAGGGGAGCAATTAGAGAACTTTTGCCACAGTCCAAGGATCATGAAGATTTGAGCTTACAGCTACTTGTGTGGGTTCCCCACAATCATGATGTGGCATTCGTTTTTTAAAACTTTTTCTTGAGGTGTAATACATACATCGTAAGCTATAAGTGTACAGCTTATTGTGTTTTCGGTGAATGTGAAGTTTATTTTTCAACTTGTTTACAAGGTTGAATTATTTCCCTTTTTTTCTCTCTCTTTCCAGATAATTTTTATGGTGGGACGAGGATACCTATCTCCAGATCTCAGTAAGGTACGGAGTAACTGTCCAAAAGCCATGAAGAGATTAATGGCAGAGTGCCTCAAAAAGAAAAGAGATGAGAGACCACTCTTTCCACAAGTAAGAGAAAGCTTCATGCTACCCAAAAGAACAGACTAATTATAGACAGATTTCTGAGCATTTTTTTGGGCACACAGTATTTCATGAGTTTGGATTCTATGTGCAGACTCCAGACAAGTAAACACATTAAGATGGTTTCATGAGGATTGAGCAGTGGTACACCTAGAAATTTGGGGTCCCAATACAAAATATTCAGAAAGACTTTGCATTTATCCGGCATTCTCAGACTTCTCAGTCTTTGAACCCTTTTACACATTTAAAAATTGTTGAAGAACTCTACTTATGCTTGTAAAATAATGACAGTAAAAAAGGCACTAATGTCTTAATTGTTATTCCAAAAATAGTTTGACTTTGTGGTTACCCTGGTGGTCCACAAACCAGATTTTGTGAACCAACCACTGCTTTATTTCTTCTTGATGGTAAAATAAAGATTCGAAGCTTTCCTTTAATACTAGGTCTTTTTGAGGGGCATTTGCGCCTGGACACAAAAAAGAAAAGGCAGTAAGGTAGTTGTCAGCTCAACCTGCCTTTAGCTAACTCTTGACAACTCATTGCTTTTTTAAATTCCATATTGGAAAGATAAAGCCTTAAGTTAATAAGTCTCACAAAGAACTGTAACTAAGGCCAAGCATAATGACTCACACCTATAATCCTTTGAGAGGCCAAGGGGGGCAGAACACCTGAGGTCAGGAGTTCAAGACCAGCCTGGCCAACATGGTGAAACCCCATCTCTACATAAATACAAAAATCAGCTGGGCATGGTGGCAGGAGCCTGTAATCCCAGCTACCTGGGAGACTGAGGCATGAGAATCACTTGAACGCAGAAGGTGGAGGCTGCAGTGAGCTGAGATCATGCCACTGCACTCCAGCCAGGGCAACAAAGCGAGACTCTGTCTCCAAAACACACACACACACACACACACACACACACACACACACACACACACACAACTATAACTAAATACCTCAACTAGCTTACAGAGTTAAGCTGTAGTAGATACTGTAAAATAAATGCAGTGTTTTCTGATACTTAGGGAGCTCCTGATAGCACTGGGTAAATATTCCTTGGACTGGGCACGATGGCTCATGCCTGTAATCCCAGCACTTTGGGAGGCTGAGGCAAGCAGATCACGAGGTCAGGAGTTTGAGACCAGCTTGGCCAACATGGTGAAACCCCATCTCTACTAAAAATACGAATATTAGCCAGGAATGGTGGCAGGAGCCTGTGAATCCAGCTACTTGGGAGGCTGAGACAGAGAACTGCTTGAACCCAAGAGGTGAAAGTTGCAGTTAGCCGCCATGTACTCCAGCCTGGGCAACCGAGTGAGACTGTGTCTCAAAAAAAAAAAAAAATGCCTTGATAAATCGATAAATCAGTACAGTCTCTAGTGAGAAGTCCTGTCTCCCTTAATAACCCTGCTACCCTAATTACTGGAGTGTTCATTTATGAACTCATAGGCCTTTGAATACCCAGTCCTAGCTAACTCAGACAGAAGTCACGGTTAAGGAATGAGATTCACTCATCCTTTCTTTTTAAATCTAAAAAATTTATTCTTCTCTAAAGAATTCAAGAAGATAGAATTGATGGTTTTAACAAGTGTCTCAGGCTGTTGCCTAAGAGAAGGAAAGGGGAGTTAAGTGGTTGGGTGGGTAAATAAAAGTTTCATTTACCAGGGTTCGAAGTTACTGTTCCTTTGAGGAAGAGTTTTTATTTTTGTTTTGTTTCTTTGTTTGTTTGTTTGTTTTCTAAGTCAGGAAACATCTGGGTTGAGCCTGTCCTAATGAGAGACCAGTGCTGCTGACCAGTTTCAGCATGACCCTGTCCCATGTTCTCTTTCCACATCATGGTGCTCAGGTTTCTAAGCATGGTTGATTGACATTAATAATGCAAAGTACATCCTTAGGCCCACGTTTTAAATGATATTAAAAGAGGCAAAATGCTTAGCTTATACTTCTAATTGTAACATTTCATTAATTACATGGTTTCAAAAAAGGAGGTCCATATATGAACTTTCCAGATTATTGGAGGCTATCCCTTTTGTGGTATTTTAAGATTTTTATTACAGGATCTTTTCACAGCATACTGTTATGTGTCACATAAGTTTTACATGGCTAAAGATCTACATGTTTTAAAAAACTATAAAATATGAAATCGTTTTTATAGTTTTGAGGTAGAAAAGGCTTTCTTAACTAGACAAAATTCAGAAGGTATACAGGAAAAAATTAGCAGAAGTGAGTATGTTAAAAATTTTTTAACTTCTATATAGAAAAATAACATTGAAAGATAAAGAGAATAAGTGTAGCATATAGAACAAAAAGTAAATGTTTATAGTATACAAAGGACTCCTACAAATCAATAAGTAAAAGACAATCAATAAAATGGGCAAAGAGAATATGAAAAGTGATTCACGTAAGAAATACAAATAGTGAATGAACTTAGGAAAAGGTGTAAAGATTTCCATGGCAGTCAGTAAAATGCAAAGACACACAACAGTGAAGTACATTTTAATTTTGCCTCTCAGGTTGGTAATATCCAGCACTGGTAACAATGTTGGGAAGTGAGGAAGAGCATACTTTCTAAAATTTTAAAGATTTGGTGAGAGTGTAAATCGTTCAGCATTTTGGAAGAACTTGGTAGAATCCATAAATTCAAAATAATTGTAAAAATCTGTGCTTTATAACCTATTTTGTAAGTATTCAGATATATATAACAATGTTTACTATAATAAGAAAAATTAAAGACATTAAGAGTAAGTTAGATTTGTATTGATGACATGGATATTGGTAAGAGAAAAAGAAGACAAAACAGAAAACAAAATGTAGTATGATACCTTTTTTTTTTTTTAAATAGGAAAGGTCTAGGCCGGGCACGGTGGCTCAAGCCTGTAATCCCAGCACTTTGGGAGGCCGAGGCGGGTGGATCACGAGGTCGAGAGATCGAGACCATCCTGGTCAACAGGGGGAAACCCCGTCTCTACTAAAAATACAAAAAACTAGCTGGGCATGGTAGCGTGTGCCTGTAATCCCAGCTACTCAGGAGGCTGAGGCAGGAGAATTGCCTGAGCCCAGGAGGCAGAGGTTGCGGTGAGCCGAGATCGTGCCATTGCACTCCAGCCTGGGTAACAAGAGCGAAACTCCGTCTCAAAAAAAAAATAAAAATAAAAATAAATAGGAAAGGTCTATTCTGTTGCCCAGGCTGGAGCGCAGTAATATGATCATAGCCCACTGCAGCCTCAAACTCCTGGGTTCAAGCAGTCCTCTCACTTCAGCCTCCCAAGTAGCTGGTAGGGTGCTCAGGTACTGTAGGTGCTCAGGACCACGCCCAACTAATTTCTTTTTGGTTTCGGGGTTTGTTTGTTTTTTTAATAAACATAGAGTCTCACTATGTTGCCCAGGCTGGTCTTGAACTCCTGGGCTCAAGTGATCCTCTTGCCTCGGCCTGTCAAAGTGCTAGGATTACAGGCATGAGCCCCAGTGCCCAGCCTGATACTTTAAAAGGTTGTACAAGTAGGCTGTTTTCATACATTAAAAAGTTACAGAAGAGGCTGGGCATGGTGACTCACACCTGTAATCCCAGCACTTTGGGAGGCCGAGGCGGGCAGATCACCTGAGGTCAGGACTAGCCTGGGCAACATTGTGAAACCCCATATGTACTGAAAATACAAAATTAGCCAGGAATGGTGGCTTATGCCTGTGATCCCAGCTACTTGGGACGCTGAGGCAGGAGAATTGCTGAAACCTGGGAGGCGGAGGTTGCAGTGAGCTGAGATTGCATCACTGCACTCCAGCTTGGGCAACAGAGTGACACTACATCTCAAAAAAAAAAAAAAAAAAGCCGGGCGCGGTGGCTCAAGCCTGTAATCCCAGCACTTTGGGAGGCTGAGGCGGGTGAATCACGAGGTCAAGAGATCGAGACCATCCTGGTCAACAAGGTGAAACCCCGTCTCTACTAAAAATACAAAAAATTAGCTGGGCATGGTGGCGCGTGCCTGTAATCCCAGCTACTCAGGAGGCTGAGGCAGGAGAATTGCCTGAACCCAGAAGGTGGAGGTTGCGGTGAGCCGAGATCGCGCCATTGCACTCCAGCCTGGGTAACAAGAGCGAAACTCCGTCCCCAAAAAAAAAAAAAAAAAAAAAAGATACAGAAGCAACTACAGAATCTAACAGTGGTTATCCCTGGAGGGCAGGATTTAAGAGCCTTGTACTCTTTATACATTTCTGTAGTGTTTTAATTTTTATTTGCACCCTATACTTGGAATTTAAAATTTTTTTGTAGCTGTTTCTTTGTCATGTATTAATAATCATAAAGATTACTTTTTTAAAAAAGTTTAACTTTAAAAAAATTTTCAGCCAAGCATGGTGGCTAACGCCTGTAATACCAGCACTTTGGAAGGCCGAGGCAGGAGGATCACCTGAGGTCAGGAGTTTGAGAGCAGCCTGGCAAACATAGTGAAACCCTGTCTCTATTAAAAATACAAAAATTGGGCCAGGCGCGGTGGCTCAAACCTGTAATCCCAGCACTTTGGGAGGCCGAGGCGGGCGGATCACAAGGTCAAAAGATCGAGACCAGCCTGGCCAACATGGTGAAACCCCGTCTCTACTAAAAACACAAAAATTAGCTGGGCATGGTGGCGTGTGCCTATAGTCCCAGCTACTCGGGAGGCTGAGACAGGAGAATTGCTTGAATCCGGGAGGCAGAGGTTGCAGTGAGCCCAGATTGTGCCACTGCACTCCAGCTTGGGGACAGAGTGAGACTGTGTCTCAAAAAAAAAAAAAAAACAAAAATTGGCCGGGCGCAGTGGCTCACGCCTGTGGTCCCAGCACTTTGGGAGGCCAAGGCAGTTAGAACACGAGGTCAAGAGATCGAGACCATCCTGGTCAACGTGGTGAAACCCCATCTCTACTAAAAATACAAAAAATCAGCTGGGCATAATGGTGCGTGCCTGTAGCTCCAGCTACTCAGGAGGCTGAGGCAGGAGAATTGCCTGAACCCAGGAGGCGGATGTTGCAGTGAGCCAGGATTGCGCCATTGCACTCCAGCCTGGGTAACGAGCGAAACTCTGTCTCAAAAAAAAAAAGAAAAGAAAAAAAATACAAAAATTAGCCAGGCGTGGTGGTGAGTGTCTGTAATCCCAGCTACTCGGGAGGCTGAGACAGGAGAATCACTTGAACCCAGGAGGTGGAGGTTGCAGCGAGCTGAGATCATACCACTGCACTCCAGCCTGGGCAACAAAGAGTGAAACTCCATCTGAAAAAAAAATTTCAGCCAGACCAGTGGCTCATGTCTGTAATCCCAGCACTTTGGGAGTCCAAGGCAGGCAGATCACCTGAGGTTAGAAGTTTGAGACCAGCCTGGCCAACATGGCGAAACCCCATGTTCAGTCTCTACTAAAAATACAAAAAATTAGCTGGGTGTGGTGGTGTACACCTGTAATCCCAGCTACTTAGGAAGCTGCGGCAGGAGAATCGATTGAACCCAGGAAGCAGAGGTTGCAGTGAGCCGAGATTGTGCCACTGCATTCCAGCCTGGGTGACGAGCAAGACTCTGTCTCAAAAAAAAAAAAGTTGGTAGATCAGGACAATAACAAAAGTAATAATAATAGCTGCTGAAGTTTTGTTGAGTACTTATTATAGGCCAGGCATTATTCCAAGCCCTTTAAACATATGTTTTATGATTATGAACATGCATTATCATGCTGTATGCCTTCAAGGTTATAACCTGTTTGTTTATACCTTAAAATATGTTAATTTCTACATTTTATGTAGAGTTCTCCTGTCTTTGCTCTTGGGTTGTTACCTGTCAGTTCTTAGGTGCTACTAGCACTCTGGGTACCTGGGGTTCTGCTTTTAATTAAGTATATATAGCCAGGCACAGTGGCTCGCACCTGTAATCCTAGCACTTTGGGAGGCTGAGGCAGGTGGATCACGAGGTCAGGAAATCGAGACCATCCTGACTAACATGATGAAACCCTGTCTCTACTAAAAATACAAAAAAAAAATCAGCCAGGCGTGGTAGCATGCGCCTGTAGTCCCAGCTACTCAGGAGGCTGAGGCAGGAGAATTCCTTGAACCCAGGAGGCAGAGGTTGCAGTGAACCGAGATCGCACCAGTGCACACCAGCCTGGGCAACAGAGCGAGACTCTGTCTCAAAAAAAAAAAAAATTAGGTGTATGTAAAACATTCCCCATTGCTAGGTTTCTTTAAAGGGCAAGTAGCTGTGATAGTTCTGTTTAGAGATAGTCATATAGTGCTTTGCTTTACTTATTTATACTCTATCTTCTTCCCAAAAGAGACTTGTGGTCTGTAACAAAAAGGTATAAAATTTGTTTTAAATTTCTATTATTTATTGTTTCCAGACTAATAAATGATCTAAAATATAAATAAACGTTAACTGTGAATTACTGTCCCGATTTAATTTACAGAGATAATTTTCTTTTTAAGAAAAAATACCAGTTTCTTTACATATATTTTTGCAAACATTTATGACAATACTGAAAACTGTGTAAGATTTCAGGTGCTTTCTTGTAAAGTGTGATGGGACTCTTAAAAATTTATGCCACCCAGATTTTCATTCTTCTTTCTGTTTTTCTTTTTCTTTTTTTTCTTTCTTTTTTTTCTTTTTTCTTTATTTCTTTTATTTTTTTTTTCTTTTTTGTTTTCTTTTTTCTTTTTTTTTTTTTTTTTTTTTTTTTTGTAGATTCTCGCCTCTATTGAGCTGCTGGCCCGCTCATTGCCAAAAATTCACCGCAGTGCATCAGAACCCTCCTTGAATCGGGCTGGTTTCCAAACAGAGGATTTTAGTCTATATGCTTGTGCTTCTCCAAAAACACCCATCCAGGCAGGGGGATATGGTGCGTTTCCTGTCCACTGAAACAAATGAGTGAGAGAGTGCAGGAGAGTAGCAACAAAAAGAAAATAAATGAATATATGTTTGCTTATATGTTAAACTGAATAAAATACTCTTTTTTTAAGGTAAACCAAAGAACACTTGTGTGGTTAAAGACTAGATGTAATTTTTCCCCAAACTAAAATTTATACTTAACATTGGATTTTTAACATCCAAGGGTTGAAATACATGGACATTGCTAAAAATTGGCAGTGCCTCTTCTAGAGGCTTTACTTTCTGTTCCGGGTTTGTTTTGTTCACTTGGTTATTTTAAGTATTAAACTTCAGTTTTTCTCATGCAACTTTTGTTACTATCACATGTCCACTAGGGACTCCAGAAGAAGAGCATACCTGTTCCTATGTTTGCAGATGGGAAGTTGTCAGTAGGTTAACCTGGGTTAGATAAGGCAAACTGAGCAGATCTAATTTAGGAAGTCACTAGAATTTAATAATTCTATTTTTATTCTTAATACTTTTTCTATAACTCTTTTTATAACAGTTTGGAAAATGTGGATGTCCTTTATTTCCTTGAAGCAATAAACTAAATTTCTTTTCCTAAATTGCGAGTGCAGGTGACCAAAAATACTGCTGAGGAGTGCATGTTTGACATGAGGAAAATGTCTTAGCTTTGGATTTTTAGTTGGAAAATGTTATAAATTGGAGTTCTTTTTAAATAACTTTTTAAAAAATACATTAAAGATGTCTTGCTCATGTAGAAGTCAAACTTCATTGCAAGTGCATTGCCCCCTTTCCACTCAATCCCTCCCCTGCAAAAAAATCTTCGCAGAATTCTGTGGAACTTTTAGGTTTGTTTTTCTTTTAGATAATTCTGGTTGCCAAACACCAGGTAATAGATTTTTTGAAGTGATTATTAGATTATTCTTACCTCTCATAATGCATATTTTAGTAATCACCTTATCATTGTGTCTCATGAAATTTCTGTCCTCCGTATATTCTTTAACCAGCAAGATTCTACTTATGATGAAAGAATGCTATTCTCCTTTTTGCATTCCATGGTATGAAGTATTTGTTAGCACTGTCTAATACTTATACTTTGTTGTATAGAAAATGACTCTAATGTGGTGGTCAGTGTATTCTTATTGTGATTCAGATGGAATCAAAAATAGAAAGCAACAGCATGTGGTCCTGTCAAAGATTTGGCCATCTCTACTTCATTGTCAGCCTCTTAACTATATCTTCACTTAACTCAATTTGATTTTGTCATGATTTTTAAATGTAGCCAACAGTTAGTTCAATGTTCTTCCAGTCAACAGACATCTGTATTGATGCCTCTTTGAAGTCAGTAAAGAACAAAATTGACAAGACTTTAAATTAATGATAATTTAGTTTTTAAGTACCCACAAATAAATTTTTTAAACATTTTCTTTATTTGAATAGTTAGATGTCATTCAGGAAAAGCAATAATAATTATGGCAAACCTTTAACCCCTCATTTGGGTAGCTTAAGATAAATAATGACATTATGATTTCAGAACTGATTTATGACTTTCAGTTTAGTTAAGAAAATGAGCCAGGCGTGGTGGTTCACACCTGTAATCCCGGCACTTTGGGAGGCCAAGGCAGGTGGATCACCTGAGGTCAGGAGTTTGAGACCGACCTGACTAACATGGTGAAACCCCATCTCTACTAAAAGTACAAAAATTAGCCTGGTGTAGTAACGGGTCCTTGTGATCCCAGCTACTAAGGAGGCTGAGGCAGGAGAATCGCTTGAACCCGGGAGGCAGAGGTTGCAGTGAGCCGAGATTGCGCCATCGCACTCCAACCTGGGTGACAGAGCAAGACTTCGTCTCAAAAAAAAGAAAAGGAACGTTTCTCATATTTTAGAAGTGAGACTAAGAAAGGAATAAGGACATGTGACTACTGGAAAATATCAAAGTATATGATTTTTAAATCAGTTGCACTAAAGGTGTGATTATTAGTAATTGTTAAATAGGGTTTTATTCATTCACAAACAGAAGACTAACAGGCATGTAACAAAGTTTTTACAAAATTGACTTTCTCTATGGAATGCTCCAGAGGTTTGGCCATTTTGAGGCACAAAGTTAAGGAATCTGTTTATTAATAGAGCTCTTTCTATAATTTCCCAGCATACCTGCCTCACTGTTACCTTCCTTTTTTTGTTCACTCTTTTTCTTCTCAATGCCAATCCTGCCTAGGCTCCCATCACCTGCATCTGATGCTTTCCTTTCTTTACTAGTCTCCTTTGCAATGGGGCATGGATAAACTCTGTAGAGCTGCTCCGAAACTCATTGTCCCATCCTGTAGCCAGTAAAAGATTCCTCCAAAGTATCACAAAGTAATTCTACACTCCCTTCCAAATTACCCATTGGAAATGTTGGTAAAAGGACATTAAATGTGACAGGTGACATGTTTAGCTAACATGGACCTGGAGAAATAGGAAGCAGTAGAATTAAATGTTTACTTTTCAGGTTCAGTTGTATTTGTTCTTGGGTTTTGTTTTATAGTGAGTTTTAAATATATTCTCCAAATAAAAACATTTTTTTTAAACCATACATAGAGTTACTCCTTGACTAAGTAATTGAAACAAAAGAGCATTTGTTCTTTTGTTACTGCTTTTTTCCTAAAGCCTGAGCCCTCATATATTTTTTTAATTAAAGTTGATTTTCTTCTTTAGTAAGGAAGCCTTTTTATAAAATTTGTTTAACATTTTAAATGTTTTACTAATCATGAGGAAGAAAATCTTTTATTTTAAATAGTTTTGAGATCACAGTGTGTAATCAGATGCTTCCAGTTTATTTATTTTCGGGTATTCTACTAGCCATTTAATCTTTTTTGTTTATTTTCTTCCTGCTCCTGAGATGGCATTTTCTAGCCATTTAAATACTAAACTCTAATAATTCAATAGTTAGATTGTCCTCTGTAAAGCGGTGGCTATTTAATATGTCAGCTTAAATGGCTTTTCCCTCACGTGAGTCACTCTCAGTTTAAGAAAATTATGTGCCTTTTTAAAAAATACTATGAAATGGTACTTCATGACAGAAACATTTTATTAGTTACAGCCTTATTTGATTGAAAATCATTGAGCGTTTCTATAGAACTTTTTATTTTACTAAATGTTTCATCTCTCCTGTGACTGTTTTGTCAAAGAATTTAAAAAACCCTTGGCCGGGCGCGGTGGCTCAAGCCTGTAATCCCAGCACTTTGGGAGGCCGAGGCGGGTGGATCACGAGGTCAAGAGATCAAGACCATCCTGGTCAACATGGTGAAACCCCGTCTCTACTAAAAATACAAAAAATTCGCTGGGCATGGTGGCGTGTGCCTGTAATCCCAGCTACTCAGGAGGCTGAGGCAGGAGAATTGCTTGAACCCAGGAGGCGGAGGTTGCGGTGAGCCGAGATCGCGCCATTGCACTCCAGCCTGGGTAACAAGAACGAAACTCCGTCTCAAAAAAAAAAAAAAAAAAAAAAAAAAAAAAGAATTTAAAAAACCCAATGTGTCTATGCCAGAATGTTTCTCATCCATTTGAAACTGCTGGTCCAGACATGGTGGCTCACACCTGTAATCCCAGCACTTTTGGAGGCCAAGGTGGGCAGATTGCATGAGCCCCGAGGTTTGAGACCAGCCTGGACAACATGGCAAAATCCTGTCTCTACCAAAAAAAAATTTTAAATTAGCCAAGCTTAGTGGTGAACAACTGTAGTCCCGGCCACTCTGGAGGATCACTTGAACCTGCGGGGGCTGAGGCTGCAGTGAGCCTTCGTCATGCCACTGCACTCCAGCCTGGGCAGCAAAGCAAAACCCTGTCTCAAAAAAAGAAAGAAACTACTTGAAAGTCATGACAAAGAATGTCAGGAGGGGACTTACCCTGGCTTCAGTTGACTTTCTCCTTAAATGTCAAGAAGTGATTTATTTGGGTAAGAAGTAACCTCTTACAGTTTTCATAATATACTTTAAGGAATTTACTAAATTCTGTGTATAATGGCCATTAAAAATATACTCAATTCTGGAATAAAGGGTAATTAGTAATATTTTTAACTAGTTAATAAAGTCCTTAGCTTTCGCATAAATCATGACATTTGAGGTGTCTAAAATCACAGGGTTTTATTTTTTGTTTGTTTTTCTATTTTTTTGGGGGGGTGGTTTGTTTGTTTAGTCTTCCCAATTGTTCTCTGCTCTATTCCTAAATAAAGTTGAAAATGCATGGCCAGCTGCAGTGGCTATAATCCCAGCCCTTTGAGAGGCCAGGGCAGGTGGATCAGTTGAGGCCAGTTTGAGACATACCTGGCCAACATGGTGAAACCCTGTCTCTATTAAAAATAAAAAAATTGGCCGGGCGCGGTGGCTCAGGCCTGTAATCCCAGCACTTTGGGAGGCCGAGGCGGGTGGATCACGAGGTCGAGAGATCGAGACCATCCTGGTCAACATGGTGAAACCCCGTCTCTACTAAAAATACAAAAAACTAGCTGGGCGTGGTGGCGCGTGCCCGTAATCCCAGCTACTCAGGAAGCTGAGGCAGGAGAATTGCCTGAGCCCAGGAGGCAGAGGTTGCGGTGAGCCGAGATCGCGCCATTGCACTCCAGCCTGGGTAACAAGAGCGAAACTCCGTCTCAAAAAAAAATAAAATAAATAAAATAAAAATAAAAATAAAAATAAAAAAATTAGCTGGGCCTGGTGGTGTGCCTGTAGTCCAGCTACTTGGGAGACTGAGACACAAGAATGAGGCACAAGAACCCAGAAGGCGGAGGTTGCAGTAAGCCAAGACTGCACCACTGCACTCCAGCCTGGGTGATAGAGCCGAGACTCTGTCTCAAAAAAAAAAAAAAATGCAGCTGAAGTTATCCTCAACCTCAAAGGGAAAGAAAATATTTCAATTTGGCCCCAAATTGATTTTTTTTTTTTTTTTTTTTTTAAGACAGAGTTTAGCTCTTGTTACCCTGGCTGGAGTGCAATGGCGTGATCTCAGCTCACCACAACCTCCGCCCCCTGGGTTCAAGCAATTCTCCTGCCTCAGCCTCCCAAGTAGCTGGGACTAGAGGCACGCACTACCATGCCCAGCTAATTTTTGTATTTTTCGTGGAGACGGGGATTCACCGTGTTGACTAGGATGGTCTCGATCTCTTGACCTCGTGATCCACCCACCTCAGCCTCCCGAAGTGCTGGGATTACAGGCGTGAGCCACTGCGCCCGGCCTCAAATTGATTTTTTTAATCAATTACTATACCAAGATTTTTTTAAGGCACAGAATAGGTATTTCGCTTCAAATAACTTCACACAAGCAGAGTTGGCTCTTCAAATAAAGTAGGAAGTAGAATAGTAGAGACTTCCAGATACGCAAGAAGGAATAATTAAGAAACTTTTTCTAAAGCAAATTCATCACCTGTTACTCCCATGTTTTTCTTGAATTCTCCATGATTTTAGGGACATTTTAAGTGTCTTATTTTATTGATTTCTAAACTATGGATTCTTTTTTCTTCCCGGAACCCTAAGTGTGACTATGAAAAGGACTGCATTCTCTTAGAAGCACTAGACTTAGCTGGGCACAGTGGCTCACGCCTGTAATCCCAGCACTTTGGGAGGCTGAGGTGGGTGGATCACAACGTCAGGAGCTTGAGACCAGCCTGGTCAACATGGTGAAACTCTGTCTCTACTAAAATTACAAAAAATTAGCCTGGTGTGATGGCTTGCACCTATAATCCCAGCTACTCCAGAGTCTGAGGCAGGAGAATCGTTTGAACCTGGGAGGCAGAGGTTGCAAGAAGCCAATGTCCCATCTCAAGGGGGAAAAAAAAATAGAAACTGCATTCTGTTAGAAGCACTAGACTGTTTCTTTCTTTTCTTTTTTTCTTTTTTCTTTTTTTTTTTTTTTTTGAGACAGAGTCTTGCTCTGTCACCCAGGCTGGAGTACAGTGGCACAATCTCTGCTCACTGCAACATCCGCCTCCCAGGTTCAAGCAATTCTCCTGCCTCAGCCTCCTGAGTAGCTGGGATTACAAGCACCCACCACCACACCGGGTAATTTCTGTTTGTTTGTTTGTTTGTTTGTTTTTTAAGTAGAGACGGGGTTTCACCGTCTTGGCCAGGCTGGTCTTGAACTCCTGACCTCATGACCCTCCCACCTCAGCCTTCCAAAGTGCTGGGATTACAGACATGAGCCATCACACCTGGCCTAGAAGCACTAGACTTTCAATAGACTGATCTTTAGTGTTTGCTTTGTTTGTATTTGATTTGGAGTTTGTTGATAAGATTGTGTTCTTTGTGGAGTTGTTTGGGTTTTTTTTTTCTATTTTTTCTTTTCTTTCTTTCTTTTTCTTTTTTTTTTTTTTTTTTTTTTTTTTTTTTTTGCACACAGAAAATGATTTGGTTCCAATGCATTATTTCTATTTTTATTTGTATTTTTATTTTGAGACAATCTCACTTTGTCATTCAGGCTGGAGGGCAGTGGCGCAATCTCACCACCACACCCGGGTAATTTTTTTGTTTTTGTTTTTGGTGGTGATGGTAGTGATGGTTGTTTTTTAGACAGTCTCATTCTGTTAGGCCAGAGTGCAGTGGTGTGATATCAGCTTATTGCAATCTCTGCCTCCCAGATTCAAGTGATTCTCCTGCCTCAGCCTCCTGAATAGCTAGAATTACAGGTATGCACCACCACACCTGGCTGAATTTTTTTTTTTTTTTTTTTTTTTTTTTTTTCAGAAGAGACAGAATTTCATCATATTGACCAGGCTGCTCTTGAACTTCTGACCTCAGGTGATCTGCTCACCTCAGCCTCCCAGAGTGCTGAGATTACAGACGTAAACCAATGTGCCTGCCCCTAATCTTTGTATTTTTAAGTAGAGACAGAGTTTCGCCATGTTGGCCAGGCTGGTCTCAAACTCCTGGCCTCAGGTGATCCACCCCTGTGTGCCTCCCAAAGTGCTGGGATTACAGGCATGAGCCGTCTGACCTGGTTTTTATTTTAAGACTAATATTTAAGTTTGTGAAGTATAACACTTCAACAAAATGAAGTTTCTGATTGTTACAATGAATAGGAAACATCTGAAGTTTTTTGTGTGTGTGTTTTGTTTTTGTGAGACAGGGTCTTGTCACTCAGACTGCAGTGCAGTGAATTTGGCTCACTACAGCCTCAACCTCCTGGTCTCAAGTGATCCTCCCACTTCACCCTCCTATGTAGCTGGGACTACAGGCATATGCTACCACACCCAACTGATTTTTTTCTTCCTTTTTTTATTTTTGTAGAGACAGGGTCTCTGTGTTACCCTAGCTGGTCTCAAACTCATGGGCTCAAGAAATCCTGCTTCGGCCTCCTGAAGTGCTGGGATTACAGGCATGAACCCCATGCCCAACCTTATATGAAGATTTTTTTAAAGTATTTTTTAATGTATATAAAAGTTGGCTTGGATATTAGCATTTTCTGATATTTCTTCATTTAATAGATGAATTCTAGCCATTTTTATAAAGATTTCTGTAAATCTTATTTTTACATTGACTTCCTTAATGAGATTTGGATTCTGCTAGATACATGACTACTCATAAGAATGTTACAAATCACTTTAAAGAAACATTAAAATACTAAAAGTAGCGCCGGGCGCGGTGGCTCAAGCCTGTAATCCCAGCACTTTGGGAGGCCAAGGCGGGTGGATCACGAGGTCGAGAGATCGAGACCATCCTGGTCAACATGGTGAAACCCCGTCTCTACTAAAAGTGCAAAAAATTAGCTGGGCATGGTGGCGCGTGCCTGTAATCCCAGCTACTCAGGAGGCTGAGGCAGGAGAATTGCCTGAGCCCAGGAGGCGGAGGTTGTGGTGAGCCGAGATCGCGCCATTGCACTCCAGCCTGGGTAACAAGGGCGAAACTCCGTCTCAAAAAAAAAAAAAAAAAAAAAAAATACTAAAAGTAGCAACCTTAAAATTATAAGTACTCAAACTGTAAGCAACAGTAGTAAGAATGTTTGTATATTTCTAGAGTCTGTTACCATAATAGCTTCCTATGATTATACTCCAAATGTTTTACTCTCCAAGGTCTCAGTTTAATTTAGCCTTTTTTTTTTTTAAATCAGCGCCAAATTCCCAATCCTTTTAACTTTAAATATGAGTCAATAATTATTTTACCCTTTCTTGATCTTTGGACTCACAATACCTTAGTTAATTGCTTGTTAAAAGGAATCATACATGGAAAGAGATAGTATGACTGTCTGCAATTTCACTTGTAGTCATATTCAGATGGGGAAACAGTGTTGATTACTGAAAGTTGTTTAGGGGACTGCTGGGTCTTGGAGTCAGCACTTGGGTTCGCATTTCTTCTCTGCAGTTTTCTGTATATGACCACTCTAAACCCTGGCTTCTTCATCTGTATAATAAAGATAATAGCATCTGCCTCCTTGGGTTATTATGAGGATTGGATGCAGATGTGTACAAGGTGATCAGTGAGGCAGTCAGTCACTAATTTTATTGGCTTATAAAGCTGAGGATTCAGTCAGCCAGTCATTAGCAATCTGTTGTTTGTTGGGATCTGCCAACGTTATTTAGCAACCAGTTGGAATCTGATAGCAGTCAGAAATTAGATAGGTTATTCTTGGGTTAAATAGTATATTCATATAAGTGATTGCTTGGATCCTCCTCAGAAACTGCTATTAAAAAATAGTGGTATGCCTGACTAAATTCTGATAATTATCAGTTACTAACTAATCCTCAGAAATTAACTATAGTGTATATAACAGGAACTGACCTTTAGTTACAAGTAGAAACTATGGACAAAATGGTAGATGAAAAATAATGGCATAAAGCCGTTATTTTTAGTGGCTTCAGTAAGTTAAAGGAACATGATACCACAAAGGCACTTTGTGGCTTAAAGAATTCCTTTTGCTGACCACGCACAGTGGCTCACTCCTGTAATCCCAGCACTTTGGGAGGCCAAGGTGGGCGGATCACCTGAGGTCAAGAACAGCCTGACAAACATGGAAAAACCCCGTCTCTACTAAAAATACAAAATTACCCAGGCATGGTGGCACATGTCTGTAATCCCAGCTACTCGGGAGGCTGAGGCAGTAGAATCGCTTGAACCCAGGAGGCAGAGGTTGCAGTGAGCCGAGATCATGCCATTGCACTCCAGCCTGGGCAATAAGAATGAAACTGAAGTCCTTATAAGGGCTGATAATTATATTCAGTGACGTGTCTATATTTAATTTTTCATTAGTTTGAAGGCAAAATTAACTAGAAAATAGGAGGTCTGGATTTTCTTTCTCTGTCAAATGTGTGATGTGGACAAATCATTTGACCTCTTAATCATAACTTTTGCAACATGAGGATAACTTCTGCCTCTTCCTTCCTAATAATAGCATTATGATAATATGATAGGTGAAAATGAGTTGATAATTCGGAGGTGAAAGTATTCTACAAATTGACATTACTATTTTACAACTAGTTTCTGAAAAATTGGGACTGTTTTCAGCTTGGTTAGAACCATGACACATAAAACCCAACTAGGAAATTCTCTGCAGACTTGCTATTTAATTGACATAGCTGAACCATATTCTACATACTATATATGTTGTGTTCTTCCATAGGTTTCAGCCATTTTTGCTTTTAAATTAGCAATGTTGTTGCTAGATTTGAAATATATGTCTAGTCACTTTTCAGTGAAACTCAAATGAGGCTTTTCTGTGTCTCTAGGTTATTTGAGATGACTTTTTTAAAATTAGCTCTTGTCCTCCCCCTACAGGAGAATTTGCAGCCTTCAAGTAGCCACCATCATGGCAGCATCTGCTCTTATTTCTTAAGTCTTGTGTTTGTACAATTTGTTAACATCAAAACACAGTTCTGTTCCTCAAATCTTTTTTTAAAGATACAAATTTCCAATGCATAAGCTGATGTGGAACAGAATGGAATTTCCCATCCAACTAAAGAGGAAAGAATGTTTTAGGAACCAGAATTCTCTGCTGCCAGTGTTTCTTCAGCAAAAATACCACGAGCATACAAGTCTGCCCAATCCCAGGAAGAAAGAGGAGAGACCCTGAATTCTGACCTTTTGATGGTCAGGCATGATGGAAAGAAACTGCTGCTACAGCTTGGGAGATTTGCTATGAAAAGTCTGCCAGTCAACTTTGCCCTTCTAACCACCAGATCAATTTGTGGCTGATCATCTGATGGGGCAATTTCAATCACCAAGCATCGTTCTCTTTCCTGTTCTGGATTGTTGTGGAACTCTTTCCCCTAGCGACCACCAGTTAATTTCTGAGGGATGGAACAAAAATGCAGCTTGCCCTTTCTGTGTGGTGTGTGCGTGTTCAGGCCTTGACAAATTTTATCAAAAGGAAGCTATTTTATTTAAATGGAGGCTGAGAAGTGAGAAGTAGATGTGTCTTGGTATGGAGGAAAAGGGCATGCTGCATCTTCTTCCTGACCTCCGGGGTCTCTGGCCTTTCATTTCCTTGCCCACTGAGGGGTCTGCTTAACCAAACAGGCTAGATAGTGCTGGCACATACTGCCTTCTTTCTCATTGGGTCCAGCAATTAAGATAAGTGTTTGAGGATTTTTTTTCCTCTACAATGTAGCAAATTCTCAGGAAATACAGTTTATATCTTCCTCCTGTGCTCTTCCAGCCACCAACTACTTATGCGGCTACTTTGTTCAGGGCACAAAATGCCATGGCAGTGTCTAACTAAAAGCCTACAAAACTGCTTAATAACAGTTTTGAATGTGAGAAATTTAGATAATTTAAGGTACAGGTTTTAATTTCTGAGTTGCTTTTATATTTTTATTAAAAAGAAAATAATTTTCAGATTTAACTGAATTGGAATAAAATAATACTTCCCACTAGAATTATATATCCTGAAAATTGTATTTTTGTTATATAAACACCTTTTAAGAAAGATCATTATCCTTTTCTCTACCTAAATATGGGGAGTCTTAGCATAATGACACATATTTATAATTTTTCATTTAATGGTACTTGCTGGATCCACACTAACATCTTTGCTAATAATATTGTTTCTTCCAACTTATTCGTAACACTACATCCTACATCTTCTTTCTAGTCTTTTATCTAGAATATGCAACCTAAAATAAAAATGGTGGTGTCTCCATTCATTCTCCTTTTTCCTTTTTTCCCAAGCCTGGTCTTCAAAAGGTTCGGTAATTTGGCAGCTGAATTCCCAGGCAGAGAACAGAGCAATTTTAGGCATATTGGGACTGAGGGAGGGTATGGGAAACTTATCATCAGTTGTTTTTATAGAAAGAGCTGGTGTTTATTAAGAACTTAAATCCTTCTTACCTTTGCACAAATGGAAAATATAACCTAGTTATAGCTTCCTTTGGCCTTTATTAAAGGGCAATATCAATTACAGTCATAGCAAAGAAAGTGGATGTATTAATAGCAAATTAATGGAAAACCTCCCTTAATCAGGAATCTAGACTCAGAATTTAGGAATGTAAATCAAATCAGATACACTTAGTCCAACCAAGCTAGAGCCAAGGATTTGAAAGAAATTAAACAGGACCCAGAATAAATCAACGAATTGGAAATTGTTATTTAAAATTTTCAGATTGGGCCGTGCACGGTGGCTCAAGCCTGTAATCCCAGCACTTTGGGAGGCCGAGGCGGGTGGATCACAAGGTCAAGAGATCGAGACCATCCTGGTCAACATGGTGAAACCCCGTCTCTACTAAAAATACAAAAAATAAGCTGGGCATGGTGGCGCGTGCCTGTAATCCCAGCTACTCAGGAGGCTGAGGCAGGAGAATTGCTTGAACCCAGGAGACGGAGGTTGCGGTGAGCCAAGATCACACCATTGCACTCCAGCCTGGGTAACGAGTGAAACTCCGTGTCAAAAAAAAAAAAAAAAAAAAAAAAAAATTTCAGATTATACTCAAAAAAAAAAACAAAAACAAGGCCGGGCGTGGTGGCTCAAGCCTGTAATCCCAGCACTTTGGGAGGCCGAGGCGGGTGGATCACGAGGTCGAGAGATCGAGACCATCCTGGTCAACATGGTGAAACCCCGTCTCTACTAAAAATACAAAAAATTAGCTGGGCATGGTGGCACGTGCCTGTAATCCCAGCTACTCAGGAGGCTGAGGCAGGAGAATTGCCTGAACCCAGGAGGCGGGGGTTGCGGTGAGCCGAGATCGCGCCATTGCACTCCAGCCTGGGTAAGAAGAGCGAAACTGTCTCAAAAAAAAAAAACAAAACCAAAAAAAAAAATTTTCAGATTGTAACTCCAGGCCCTGCTCTCTGTATTTCAGCCTTCTAAAAGCTCACTACCATTAGATGATTTTTGCTAACATACATGTGTTCAGAAGAAAGCCTATTGAAATTTTCATGGACTTGTAAAAAGTTGTCCTTGTAAAATGCAAAAGATCCTTAAGCTGTTAATCAGTTTGAAAAGCAAATTGTTTTTAAGTTTTACATCAGCAAGGCAATGTCTTAAAAATTCAGAAATTGCAAAGGTGGAAATAATTCACGCTGATTTAAAGAGCATCTGTGCATAACACTGCCTCTCTTGAAAAGCATTGGCTATTTTTTCTTTTTAAATATGTCTCTAGATGCTTTTTATATGTGGCTGTGTTCCCTTTACCAAGATTGGCTTCGAGTTTCTGCAGGTTGAGAGACCTGGGCTTGAACAGAGGATGTGTTTCATGTCCTGCTGAGGAGGCAGAATGTGTGCATGGCTGGGAGCAGGACTGCCTCAGCCAGGCATTGGCAGCACCATTAGGGAGAAAGCTTAGCGTTTGAATTTTCCAAACAATATTCAGGGTGATACACTGTTTCTTCCCTTACATTCTAGAATAGGCTGGTATCTCATTTGAATAGGGAGAGCAGACTTGATCTCAAATGAAGCTGTGCCCGGGAGCCAGGCTCCGCATATTGAGATGTTTTTATAGAGACCTTAAAAAATCAAATATTTAACCTCTTTTCTTCCTTTTTCCATGAAATAGTTTTTTTCTCTAGTTTACAAATGACATGAAAATAGGTTTTATTTGTGTTTTATCTGCTTTATTTTTTGATGCTTAGATAAGAGACTTACTGAGCTCCTAAAAAATATACGAGGAAGAAGTCCTTATTTATGAAAGCACTTTATGAGTAATTGTATAGACAGTATGTGGCTGCGTCACTGACCATCTTGTAAGGGTGTAACAGTCTTGTCTGTAAAGTGGCTGCAGTGCCTTCTGTAGTGTATTTTAGTTTTGGTAGGGAGAGGTGAAGCCTTCTGAAAAATTTGAGAGCAACTAAAGTGGATTGTTTTTAACTATGTAGTGTTCCTGATGGACTTTTCTCATCATTAGAATCTAGGACATAGACTTTTGCCACTGAAATAATATTGACCAAAAAAAGTAGTTTATAAAAGGGATTTGTGAATAGAAAATTCAATGTGATTGTTTATTGTTAATGTGCACCTTAAAAGAAGATTCTGTCTAGCTGTCAAATTCTGGTTCCTGAACATCCCACCCCTGATTGTATTTGAGATCTAGTAGGGCATACTGGGGCATTCTAGAAGATAAAATCCCATACAAATGGTATGTGCTATATTTATGTTGGTGTTGGAGAAGAAAGAGCAGTATATAAAGAAAGAAGATGGCAGCACTGTCAGCCTGAAACTTTGTAAATATTTCCTGGCTTCTGGTTTGGTGTAGTGGCAGCACTTTCATCACAGGATGTTACCTTGTATTCATCAGTGGAGTGTGAGCTGTTGCACACCCTCCTCAGATCTCACCTGTCCCCACTGTACATCCATCTCGCCAGCCGCTTGCAAACCTCATCTCTAGTTTTAGTTTGAAACCACATTGCAGGGTTCAGGTGACCTCTTCAAAAACCTACCTCCTTGGAATGAGGTAATGAATAGTTATTTATTTTAAAATATGAAAAGTCAGGAGCTCTAGAACATGACGATGATTTAAGATTTTAACTTTTTTGTGTACTTGTATTTGAGCACTCTCATTTTGTCCTAAAGGGCATTATACATTTAAGCAGTAACACTGTAAAAAAAAAAAAAAATGTGTTGCTCAGAATATCTGAATGTTGTTGAAAGTGGTGCCAGAACCTGTTTAGGGGTACGTTTCAGAATCTTAACCTTGAATCAGTTGCATGAAAATAAATAGCTATGGTAGAACTTCACTAATAGTGACGTAATTTTAATTTTCAGTAGGCTTGGCAAGACAGTACCTCATTATAATGAGTTAGCTGCAGGTTTGTCACGTGCACAGGCATTCATAGAGAGACTGCCCAGCTAAGAGGTAGAATGATTACTCTTTTTGCAAGATTCTCTTCTTTGTCCAAGTTGGCATTGTTAGTGCTAGAATACCAGCACCTTGAGACTAGCAGATTCCAACCATTAGGCTGTAAACACCATAGCCAGAGATGGAAGGTTTACTGTGAGTATGAACAGCAAATAGCTTACAGGTCATATGTTGAAATAGTATAGATGAGGCTCTAGAAAAATACCTTGACAATTTGCCAAATGATCTTACTGTGCCTTCTTGATGCAATAAAAAAGCTAAAATTTTAGCAGAAATCAGTGATTTGTGAAGAGAGCAGCCACTCTGGTTTAACTTAGCTGTGTTAATAATTTAGAGTGTAATTTAGACTGCATAGATAAATGCACTAAAGAGTTTATAGCCAAAATCATATCTAACAATGAGAGAATACACAGGTAAATTTTCAGTGAACAAAATTATTTTTTTAAAGCACATAATCCCTAGTATAGTCAGATATATTTATCACATAGAGCAACTACATTGAAAATACAGTTCAGTGACATTTCTAGAGAAACTTTTTCTACTCCCATAGGTTCTTCAAAGCATGGAACTTTTATACAACAGAAATGTTGACAGAAATTTCAAGACATTGCTGTAGTTTAGGGTTGAAGTACTGTGTGATGGGCAGCAATCATGTATTAACTTAGAAGGGGAGATTGAAATAGAGGACAGAATTTGGTTTTATCAGTTTCCAGAGCACTGCTGCCAACCTAGACACTGATTTTTCAAAGTTTGAAATGTAAATTTCCTCCCAGGACTTGCTTGCACATGAAGCTGGACTGCACTAGGCATTCCGCCCCAAATCACTGTGGGGTCTGGGGTGGAGGTCTCTCAAGGCGTCCTTTATGATGTGGCAGTTGGTTGTAAAAGAAAACATACTCCATGATGTGGTTCTTGTATCTTGTTTCATTCCTCACCAACAAAAGAGGAAGTCCATGTATTGTCTCCGGTGCATCCTTGAAATGTTACACTGGGATGGATTGCTGATGCCTGTCAGCAGTTGAGCCCCAGAAGAGGGTAGTAGCATCTCTGGCTCAGGTGATGATTTGTAGCTTGGCCAGAGGCGAGTGGAGTCACCAGTGTATTTCTGGTCCATGTTGCTAGCTCTGGTAAAACTGAAAGTATTGGTAAGATGTTTATTTTATTAGTATACTAGATAGCCCTGTTTTGTGGTTTTCAAATAAGCTATTTTCACTTTTGTTTGGGCAAGGACATTTAAATTGAAATTCAGTTCTAATTTTTGTTAATTGTGGAAAGAGTAATTAACAGTTCCTATCAGATATTTTTACGGTGGAAGAGGACAGAAACCCAAGTCCTAAAATCTTAAGATAACAGTGCTTTAAAAAAACAAAAAGGCATAGGGGCAATTAGTTCCCAACTCCATGAAGGGATTAAAGTACTTTTGTTTAACTTCCTCAAATTCAACTGTTAATTTTTATTAATTACTAAATCAGCTTTATTAAAATGTTGACATTTATTTAGCTATTTTGAGTAATTACAGGGACATAACCGGTTGTGTATGAGGACACAGCCAATGTAAGCCAGTGTATCCATTTTTTAGAGGTGCATTTTTTTTAAAGAATTCTGTAGATTGAAGTGCTCTGAAAACAACTAAAATGTGTTTATTCATGTTGGTATCAAAAAATGTTTTGTACAAACCATCTGCTTCTCCTGACCGGCCAAATTCATTCTCCAGCACCATGACTGCTGGTTCTCACGTATAGTACGTACGTATGCCGGAGAGTTGGCAGAAAATTTGTGAAGAGATGCAAAGGAAGGATCTGTTTACAGGGGTGGGAATGGGGGTTTGGATGAAATTGCTTAGTCCTGGTTT